TACTGCCATTTTTTTAGTACGTGTTATAGGTAAAAATTCTAATGACTGATGTTCAAAACTATCTGTAACTTGGCTACGTGTGATTACTCCTGGAATTGGGTTTCTACTTGCGTTATCTCCTAACTGAGTTTCTACTATAATATTCAACTGGCCTTTCTGTTGGGCTTCAAACTGGGCTTGGGCTTCTCTTTGGGCTAAAAACTGGGCTTCTAACTGGGCTTCTTCTACTACACTAGTGTTATACAATGAATTAGCTACGTTCAAGGGAGATGTACCTTCTTTGTCCATAAATTACTTAGCTACCTATTTAATACGTTAATACTCATAATAATAATACTCAAAATGCCCTTTAAATTCAATAATAACTTCAATAATACGCCCTCTAATAAATTCAAATAAACTTCAATAATACTTCAATAATAAAAATGCCCTCAATAAATTCAAATAAACTTCAATAATACTTCAATAATAAAAATGCCCTCAATAAATTCAAATAAACTTCAATAATAATCAATAAAATATGCCCTCAATAAAATTTAAAACGTTTTACACCATTATACTTATAGTCAACTACTTAGAATTATCTAATATGTCTTAATTATGTTGCATACGTCTATGTAACAAATTTAAATAACTATTCACTCACAATAATGCTGTGTTCCTGGTTGCTGATGACATGCTGATGGATTTGTTGGTACCGCGACGTGACTTATTTGTTTTTTTTTATGGTTCTTCTTAGAGTTGTCTTCTCGGAAGAGTGTACAGTTCTTCTTTGTTGACGGTAGCCTTTGACGGGTTGCCTCCTTTGAAAGAAATCCTACATCGACTGCGCCAGTGTTACGTATGGCCCTTCAGGGATCCAAAAGCTGTTGCACTTTTACAATAAAATGTAGTCAATTTAAATATAAATCAATTGTAATTTATTAAAACCAATAATAATTAATATAGTCGTGGTGAATTGCAGCGTCGTGAGTTGACTCGTTGTAGTAGTCGATAATCTCCATGTAAGTGGTGTGTAATGGCTGGTGCTTTAAGCTGCCCGCTCGGTCTTGGCGGCTCTGGTACATCTACTCAGGCTGTCTCGCTGTCTCCTATATATGGCTGCATGTTACTTGCGTCCCAAAAAAAGATATATTTTTCAGGTAGTAAATTTGACCGGTAAATTGCGTCCCGTTTTGGGGACGCAAGTCAGCCATATAATTATTATCGATATTATCTTCTAAAATCATTAAAATCGATAGTATCGTGTCACTAAAATCGATAGTTCATAAACTATACAGTATACAATATGTGTGTGCGTGCGTTACTTACTTACAATGTAGATACAATTTATCTATGATAGGTACAATATGATAGTATATTCCATTAATAACTTAAGTGGGTATTATTTTATGTGAAAAGATATGGGAACATGTATACATCTTGTTGGTTGTTAGATTCGATAAGATAAAGCAATTACGTCGATAATTTTTTTTTTTACTCGCATTATATTTTCACATTTTACTTTTATTCCGTACGATTCGTCTTATTAGACCAATAGTTGTGAAATAACCACTCATCAAATTAAAAAAAAATTAAATAAGTTAATTTAATAACATACGATTTTTTTTTAAGGTATAGAAAAAATGTGTTGCTCTAAATTGGTCGCGAATAATGGTTTTAAAATAATTTATGGTTATAAGTTCGGATATCATAAAATGTTATGTAATAACAATTTTCGATGGAAGAGCACGGATAAAAGCTGTAAAAGCTATATGAAGCTAGATGTTCATCAAAATGTAATAAGTAATCCTACTTCACATACTTCATATCACACTCCAGACGACATCACTCTATATTATTATTATTACTACCATGACAAAATATAAAACATATGAATTTGTAATTTTATAAGTTTGAATTTTAAAAAAAAGCGTGAAAATTGAATATATAGTCCTGAAGTTGAAAAATATTCGTTCAACTTTTATAGTTTAGGATTGAAATATACTTAGTAATATCATAGGCTGATTGACCGTTTTCGCTCAGAATAGTTTTTTTTATACTTTTTTTTTTTACATTTTTTATCGATTTTATCGATATTTTTGGGACTCAATTAAGTCATAAAAAAAAGGTGTACTGGGACGCAAATCGGCTATGACCTTTTTGAACCTTTTTTTTGCGGGACGCAACTCACCTACTGATAATAATTTCGGACGCAAGTAGTATGCTCCTCTATATACATATATGGTGGCGGCGTCCTTTGAAAGCGGGTAGCGCGTGTACAGTCGTCCTTGATATGATTCGGACCTCACGACTAAAAGCGGTATTCTAGTCGTAAACACTTTTGGGTGTGGTCGCATTCCTGGTTGTTTTTATGAGCAAATACATGATATTACGTAATCCCATTACAATATAAACAAAATAATGTATGGTTACAGCCTAAATGAAATATAATTTTAAATACAGTTTAACAATATTGATTTGGTAAAAAATATATATTTTTTGATGATTAAATAGATACAAAATTAAAATAAATATAGGTAGGTAATATATTATTATTACATCTTCTTAGGTAAATCATATAAAATAAAAATTAAAAAACAAAATGAAAATGAATATATAATATACTTACCTAAATTGGCTACATTAAAATAATATTAATGTAATTTTTGATTTCCAATGAACAATTGAGCTAGATAGGTACTTGAAAATGTTAATCACCCTTCTGCTTGGGAAAAATAAAAAGTTGTACTGTGTTAAAATTGTTGGAAATTATCACAACTTATTCACATAAATGTTAATAAATATAATTTTTTTATGGTAATAAAATAATTAGGCGTGGCTACATGATTAAAAATTTAAATATTCTAATATTCTGTTTGAAGAATGTATATAGTATATTATATTGTCTGATGTTTAATATCCGCTACAAGCAAACAAGTTATTAGTAATACATGTATAAATCCAAAAATATTAATAACAATATTTAATATTGTGGTAGGTAGGTAATGATATTAATACATATAACAGGGGGTGGACACTCTTGGGCGGCGGGCCGGGCCGGGAGAATCAGTGGGCCATGACACTGGCGTCAAACAGTGTGCACATTGCTATGGCAAAATAAAGAATCTTTACGTTTGTATAAATGTTCACACTGAGTATAGTAATGATAAGTACCACGTTTTTACGTTATCGTGATTACAAGTTTTATGTTTATTGTTTTGTCTGTCCGTGCCGTTTGTAACGTAGACTCGTGACTCCTTTCTACTCGTTATATTTTGTGACTTAACGCCGTTTTTGTATTTTGATTTAAATTTTGAGTATTAGATTGTAGTTTTATTCAGTGCTATCATCATGGTGAATTTGTGCATTGTGAAAGAATGCAATAATTCTAGTACGTTGACTGTAAAGAAGTGCATAATGTTTAAGTTACCTAAAGATGAATTACGGTAAGTTTAATTTAGCCTGTCATTAATGTATATAAATTATAATATATTATGAATATGTATCTAATTATAATTTAAAAAATTTAGTCGTAAGAATTGGCTGATAAATTGCGGTCGTCAAGATTTATTAGAACAATCAACAGTACGTCGTAACAGTGTGTTCAGACCATTTCGAAGACAAAATGTACTCAAACCCTGATAGAACAGTTTTATTACCTACTGCTGTTCCTACTGATTTCTGTAATTATAATTTTACATATTGCATATTTTATACTTTACTGATTATTGTTTATTTTTATAGCATTGATCTTTAAAGAACATGCGTGCAGTACTTCATGTGTGGATACTAGTATATCAGATCCATTGTTTAATAATTCAGTTGCCACGAGTACTCCAACAAAACAAAAGGAGTCAATTTCTATTTCTTGTAAGTTTTTGTCTTTAAGTAAATATTATTACCTACTTTATTTGTATTATATAATATGATATTTTTACTATAGACTGAAATAGTAAAATATAATAAAATTAAAAACAAAATAAATTAACTTAACTTACTTATTAAAATGAAAAATTAATTCATTAATTTCTCGTTAGTTAAAAAAGAAATTTAAGAAGTTAAGAGTTAAATTAATGAAAAGCCAAAAGTAACTAGGTACCTAGTTAAGTTAAAAAGTTAAAATTAAATTAACTTTAACTTTTTAACTGGTTAATGCCCAGCTTTGATATAAATTGATAATGTTGTTAGCCGTGTTCAGTTGTATCATAAGATAAATATAATTCTGTATTATTATTGATCAAAATAAAATAGAAATAATTTACGGAATTTAAACTACAAACTGTTAATTTAATTTGCATATTTAGTATTTATATTTTGTTTTTCTTTAGGTTCACTATCTCCAAGTTCATCATATTCTGCTGATTGTTCGATCTCCTCATCTACTCAAACTACTCAAACTACTCAAATTCTCTCATTACATACCCCAAGAAAGAAAAAGTACAGATCTGAACTTCGAGAAATTAAAAATAAATACGAACAGTTAGAACAGAAAATGAATGCGTTGAGTGAAGAAGTAGCTATGAAGAATAGTGCAAATGCAATAGATGTAACTTCAGTTGAATTGTTTAACAGAGTAGTTGAAGCACATTTACCTCCTAACCTGTGCATGATTATAAAACAGTATGTTGAAATGGGTAAGAAAAAACCTCAGGGCTACCGTTATTCAAGTCAAATTAAGCAGTTGGCACTAACTATATAATTTTTTGGTCCACGTGTGTACACATTTTTAAAATCATTATTGCAATTGCCAAGCCCAAAAACATTACGCCGAGTCACAGAGAGGATTAATAAAGTGCCTGGATTAAATGACATCATATTCGAAACTATGGACTTGAAGATAAGTAATATAAAAGATGATGCAAAGGATTGTGTTTTATGCGTTGACGAGATGTCAATCAAAACGTATTTATTTTATAATCTTTCTCAAGATTACATTGTAGGATTTAATAATTCATATGACAGAAAAACATACGAACCAGCAAAGCAAGTACTCTGTTTTATGTTGAGAAGCATCAATTATGATTGGAAGCAACCAATTGCATACTGTTTTTATCAATAATAGCTGTACAGGAATTCATCTTCAAAATACCATATTCGCCGTAATCAGTCGTATCCAAAAAACATCACTTAAAATTAAAGTATTAACAAGCGACCAAGGGTCAAATTTTACTAGTTTTTCCAAAACAATGAATGTTTCATGTGAACGTCCATTCTTCTTTGTTAATGGGCAAAAAATATTTTATGTATTTGATGTGCCACATTTACTAAAGTCAACAAGAAATAATTTTTTCAAGTATCGTTTAACTTTTTTAAATGGTACAACGGAGAAAAAATTTCTTGTTGACTTTTATAAATCGGACCAAGGCATAAATAGGCTTGCGCCCAAATTAACTGAAACACACATCAATCCGGGACCGTTTCAAAAAATGAAGGTGAAATATGCAGCCCAAGTTTTCAGCAACACAGTTGCAGCAACAATGCAATGCTGTGTTCAAGTTGGTTCACTGCCTTTAACTGCTGAAACTACCATAACATTTATTGACCATATGGACAAATTGTTTGACTTATTGAATTCAAAAAAGAAATCTGGTAGTAAAAATTTTAATCGACCATTTAAGAACACGGCTAAACAGAGAGAACATTTACTCCATATGCTCGAAGTATTTAAAAACATGAGAGTTCTGGATACCAAGAAAGTCGATGGAGAAACTGTAATAATTGATGTTACAAAACGAATGAAATTTTTGAATGGTTGGATGATAACAATTAGTTCGTTATTAATGTTGTGGGATGACATAACCAAAACACCGAATTTTGTGTTATGCTTTTATAGATTTAATCAGGATATCATTGAAAATCTGTTTGGAGTATTTCGAAATCAAAACGGCAATAATGTCAATCCCACTCCAATACAGTTTCTATGGGCTTTTAAAAAAATATTTTTTGTCAATTATTTCAAACACTCCGAAGGATCAAATTGCTTAGAAGATCTTAGTGAAATTTTAACTACTATTGGGCATATTTCACCACCGTTGAACAATTCATGTGTGCTATTTCCAGACAAATCTCCTTTTAATTTTTGTAATTTAAAAATAGGTACCACTGATTACAGAGAGTTAAACGTTCCTGCCCAAAATGCCCTTACGTATGTATGTGGCTACTTGATAAAAAAATATATAGATAAACATAGCTGTGATATATGCCTAAAATTATGCTAATCACCAACAGCAATTGGACCAATCATTTTTGTTTACATATTTTAAATCCTATGAAACTGCCAACCATTCTAACTATGGGAATTTAAATGTTCCTCCAGATAATTTTTTTAATTATATTAATCAATTAGATGAAATTTTTATAATAAATTTCCCTATCTTGGCAGTTGAAGAAAATGTTGGTAGAAAACTAAAAAATTTAATTGACAATGTTCCATTTGAACATCCATGCAAATACTTTGACCTAGAATTTCTCAATAGTCTATATATTCGCCTAAGGATATATTATTCAATAAATAAAATAAATAAAGATATGTCATTAACAGGTAGAAAGCATAGAAAGTTAGATATTCTTTCTCACCTATAAAATGTTATATTGTTATGTATTATAATTTTAATTATGTATTATTAGTGTTATTTTTTATTCTCGTATGTAATGTACTAGTATTGTTTTTTTATTAATATATCTTGTTTATTGTGAATTATTTGCATATATATTATTTGTTATGTCTGTATGACTTAATATATATTCCTATCACATAATACAACTTACTGTTCCTACTAGTTAGCAATTCTCCAATTATTACATTTAAAAAAAAAATGATTGGAAGCTTGTTATATTTTGTGTAGGAAGACTATAATTACAGGAATTGCAAACAGTTGTAGTTAAGTACACCAAAAAGCAAGGTTGGGCAAGTTAATAATTTTAACTCAGTTAAGTTAAGTTAATATGCAAAATAACAAAAAGTTAATTTGTTTATACAACTCTAGCATTGTTATATGTAATCTGTGATGATAGCGTACTTAATTTTTTACCCACCCAAAACTGTATTATAGACTAGTGTTTAAACTTTATACAGTATTTCCATATAAGTTAGATTCCAATGATATCACGGTAAATATTTTTTGACATGAATACGAAATAGACTGAAATAGTGAAATATAATAAAATAAAAAATAAAATAAATTAACTTAACTTACTTCTTAAAATGAAAAATGAATTTCACATTAATGAAAAAAGAAATTTAGTACCTAAGTTAACAGTTAAATTAATGAACCTAGCCAAAAAGTACCAAATAATACTAACTGCTTATTCAAAATTAAATTTAAATGTATCAAAATATTCTGCTCTGTAATAAGAACATAGGCGCAATTAGGGGGGGGGGGGGGTTTAGGGGATAATCCCCCAAACATTTTGTTTTAAGGTTATTCAATATTATAAAAGTAAGGTTTTAGCCCCCCCCCCATGTTCCAAACGCTTTTTGCGCCTATGATTAAGAAATTAAAAATGCATGTTCATTAATAATTGGAAACTTAAAAATGAATTAACAATAGAAATAGTAAATACAATACATTCATCGTTCAGATTCTAAAATATCATTTTGGAAATAATGAATATAAGATTTTTTATTTTAAAAATGGGTTCCACTTTTTTTTTTCAGTGAAAACTGGTCAAACTGTTCGGTTGAACTGGCCCTACTGTAAGCCGCTGGTGTCATGGCCGACTGACTCAAGTAATTGTCCTATGCTGCCTATGTAAACTGTTATCAGTGTCCATTCTGATTGTTATATTCTGTGCATATAACGACTATAACTTATAAGCTACAAATCATTGGTGCAAATAGGGAGGGGAGGACTTAATCCCCCAATTCAAAGGTCCGTACTTAGTACCTACTAAGCATATTATAATTTTTAGAAAATAATATAGGAAGATCGTGAGGGTTTGTCCCCCACCAAAATATTGGGCTATTTGTGCCTATGCTACGAATAATAATATATTATACTTAAACATTTTGTAAGTCGACAAAAACACTGGTTCCTGTTATATTATAATAGTTCGATACTCACGATAATCAAATCTTTAAAAATTAAATTAATATAGCGCATAAAAACTGGTGGAATATTTTTAAGACCAAATGGCATCCTTAAATACTCATACTGTCCAGAATGTGTAACAAATGAAGTCAACCTAATTGATTCTTTATTAAGTTTAACATGGTGAAAAGCATTTTTTAAGTCAAGTTTAGTAAAGTAATATTTATCCCTTAACTTATCTATTTGATCTTCTAATCCTTGGTAATGGGAAGTTATCTTTTAATGTTATCTTATTTAATTTCCTGTAATCTACAAACAGACGCAAATCACCGGTTTTTTTCATTACTAATACAATAGGAGAACTATATGGCGAATAACTATTTTGAATAATTTTATTTTTTAGTAATTCATCGATCATTATTTCTACTTTTTGTTTTTCATAATATGAAAACTTTCTAGGTCTAAAGTAAAATGGTTCATTATTAGTTTTAATATTTATGGTCATTTCAAAGTCAACTTTGGGTTCACTAGGCCTTAACGGTTTGACATAACTTTCCTTGAATAAATCATACAATTTGATTTTTACTTCATAGTCATTTTCAGATTCTATTTTTAATTCATATTTACCATCAGTTTCATCTGTAACTTACCAACCACTTCAACTCAATATTGTTGGTATTTTGAATTAAATAACAAGTTGATTTTGTAATAATAGTTCAGTTGTATTTATTTGACACATAAAATAGACTAAGTCCAAATAATTAAATTATAAAAATGTGGTAAACGGGTTGTGACTTAGTATCGACTTCGTGGCTGTTCTGCTATAGTGCTCGTCGTCTCGGCTGGTGTTCGTCTGATGGACACTTGTTCATCGACGTATTTCGTCGGTTTTCCTATTAGCTCCCTCCTATGGCATTTTTGGTAAATAAATGGTGCATCGCCACGTACACCTGACGTCATTTCGGCGTCCTCTACGAAATAATGTTAATTACGGATTATATGTTTCCAAAGTCATATATTTGTACTTTTTATGGCTTTTTCGTCTTTCCTATAATATGGATATTGCGCGCGTATACCTATCAATTGTTCGCGCTGTACCATTAATTAGTTCTGTACTCTTATCGATGTGGCTGCCCGGACACTTATATTATTACTATTATCGGGTTACGTGCCCCCTGCAGCATTTATATCTGTTATTGAATATAATATATTATATTATAAGCGTATTATACTTAACACAGCATAATATAGTATAATATTTTATATATTATTACTATTATAATATGTACGTAGTCACAGCCCGTTACACCTCCTCGCCCTTTCAAAGGTTTTTGTAGGGCTACAATTTTTAGAACTACAAAAATCTTTAAAGGAATTTTACATAAGACATGGATATAAATACATAGTACATAAATTGTTAATAATTGTCATAAAGACAATTTTACATAATTTCTTTTCATGACATAATGAATTTCATTTTACATAATTTCTTTTACAATACATAATTTTTCATCACAAAACATAACAATATTTCTTTTTATAACAACATAACATAACATAACATTTTTTTTTTATATAACATAACAGTTTCATTACATAACAATATATAATATATTTTTCATCTGATTTTTAAACATAATAACATAATAATTAAAATTTTTGGTTAACACATCATACCTTAATAACTAATACAATAACATACTATATTACTATAGCATTGGATACAATAATATTTTAATGTTAAGTTACATGTTATATATAATTTATTTTTAATGATTACAATTATTTCATAATCCCCAATGGAATTACAGACCAGTATATTTAATAAGTGCGTGTTTAAATTTATCTTTAAATTATTGTTAAAAATCAGTATTTACCAGTAAGCATTAATTTACCATAGTGTTAGAGACAACATGAAAATTTAACGTTAAATTATTCTCACCTATTATAAGATTAGCTTTAATAACATCCAGAATATCTAATTTAACATTATTAATTCCTACAAAGTTATTAACAAATTGTGAATTATACTTAACGCCTAAAGGTACAATATTTTCTTTTATTAAAGAGATACCACTTCCGGAATCAAGAATTGCATTTAATTTTACCTCTGTATTTTCACCAAATATCACACCAACCACCTTCTTGTACAGCATCAACAACAACATTTTCAACCAACATAGTAGACATTGTAGACTTATCCATTTCTTTTGCTTTATTTGACTTCCATGTCGATGCGGAACGCTTTGGACAATCTGGTTTCTTGTGATCCATAGAGCCACACAGAAAGCAAGATCCAGTTTCTCGCTTTGGTTTGCGACATTCTTCGGCAACATGATACCTTCCTCCACAGTTGGAGTTTTTATTTACTGCTTTAACTTTGTTACAGTCACTGGGATTAGATACCTCCTTATCCAAGCCCAATTTATTAGAAATCTTATTATTTTGTTGTAAGCGATATTCCTTCATACGTTCAAAGTTTATAATGTCACTCAATAAACTGCCTTCATTGAGATGATCGCGACTTAATAAATACTGACATGGTTCTTTGGAGCTTACACCAGACACCTATCATTACTTGTTCTTTGATATCTTCTATGCCCAGATTAAGATTTCTACAAAAACGTACCTTTTCATGGTAATAGTCTAAGACATTTTCGTTTTTATTTTGAACGCGTGCAACTAAAGTTTTCCATCGACTACCGATATTTGATTGCATAGCAAACGTACGCTTGAACTGAGTCTCAAAGTCACTTCAAGAATTGAAAACTCGACCAATGGACCACTGTTTGGCTGGACCTTCAAGGCAAGTACGTGCAGTTTCAATCTTTAGATTATCAGGCCATTTTTGGTGACAAGCTATATTATTCACAGTATCTAGCCAATCTAAAGCATCATCATTATTACTTTTCCCCGTAAAACTAGGTAACGATTTATTCAGATCGGGTAAAACTGGTATAATTTTGGGTTCATTCTTTGTATTACTTGCTTGTAATGAAAGTAAGTTCATCAGCATTTCGTTCTGTTTCATTAATTGTTTCAAAACATAATCAGTACTGACCTTAGGTTCCGATGTAACATCACTACTGCCGCCATTAACGCAGTTACCATCATTGGCTTTAGAAACATCATTAGGTCCAACGTAAATTGTTTCGACTTCGCCTTCACTCGATTCATCTTTAGGACTATCCATCTTATTTAATTTGGCCTGAATTTACTAAACACGTGTATTTAAATTTACAACGATATTGAATCAATACGTGTGTCCGTACGGTCGATCAAAATTGATAAAATCATAAATTATATCTCGAGACGTTTAAATCTGGCCTCTGATCCCACTTCTGATAAATTGTAGAAATAAACGTGACACAATTTAATTATTACAATATTATTTAATATAAGAATAAAACAGAGCACTCAACGGCTTCAACGTATCAAACAGACTAACTAACTTTTAAAATAATAATGATAATACAGTTTTTTTTTTAAGGTTAGATTACAGTGCCTACACAATAATTTTATTTATTTCATAATCTGAAAAAAAATAGTATTCATGTTGTTAAATTGTATACTATTTATATTTACTAGTATTTTAATTTACATAATATTCAGACCATAGGTTAACTTACAAGTATAATTATTGTGTGAATAAAATATAATAACTTGTAATGATAATTGTATTTACATATTGTATTTAAATAAGTAGGTTTTTAATTTTCAATTACCTACTTTTTACATTTTACTTTTTACTAGTCAGTTGGCCAAAATTAATTTTATATTTACTAATTTAAAATTGTAATGTTACATTCAACAAGGAAGGTATTTTTGTACCAGTTATGACTTATGAGTGAAAAAATATAATAAATAAAATAGTAAATCATTCATAATAAATTTGTGACGACGGACGGATGATTTGTTTGAATTTTGAAGAAAAATAATTTACATAAATATATCATACCAATTATTATTTAATAATAATTATTAAGTAGCAACTTTATAGTTTTAAAAATTATGTTAAGTATTTTGAATGTGTTTGTTGCAGACAAACCATTGAAAATCAGTTTTTGGAATTACATTTTGAACCTTATGAGGAATTTGAAAATTTAACGCGCCTTAATCATACAGATTTTGAATACTTATTAAGTAAAGTGTCACCAATTATTTCTAAAAAAGACACATATTGGAGATTGGCGATACCTGTTAATTACTGTTCAGTAGCTTACTGGTTATTTTCATCAATCATTGAAAAAGCTCTATTAACAATGTTTTCTTGAAAATTTGGTGAATAAGTCAGATGTGTCGAATGAGAATATGATAAAAGAGTAGATGAAGGTCTGCTTTGATATGAAGAGTTCGAAAATGTTGTAAATGGTGGATTAAATATTTCAGTAGATGAGGTATTTGAATGAGCAGAGTATGAGTCAAAATATCTCCGACAAAATATCTCCGATTTAAAATATCTCCAGTTCAAAATATCTTCGATTTAAAATATCTCCAGTACAAAATATCTCCTGTTAAAAATATCTTTAATGGAAACATCTCCCATGAAAATATTTTATATTAATATTGATTTTTTTTACTACAATTATTAGAAGTAGATAAAAAACTGATGTCTAAAGTGATTACCGAAGTAATTACCGAAGTACATTTTCTAGTAATAATGTTTAGAAAATAATCCGAAAGGCAAAAATAACTAATCACAATATTACCCTGTCACACTGACCAATTTGTATTATCTGATATATTTTTCACTATTACGAGTGCGATTACAAACCACCGTAAACGATTTTATCGAGGTAACGACTGTATCGATATTCGATACGACAGTGTCAGTATTATATAGACACACAGCTTGTATCGATTAAAATAGTTCCAGTTTCACTATTTAGATTTAAAAATGCCTCTACAATTTATTATAAGTCAAAAAGACAACAAATTATTATTGCATAATGGATATCTTCATACGTTCTATAAAGAAGGTGTGAACAGATTCATTTGGCGTTGTTCTGAGAACAAAACATACAAATGTACTTCATGCTATACAACCACTCGAGAAAAAATAGGTAATTATTATATTATTAATTATTAAGGCCTGGATTTAGTTGTATCATTTACTAAAAATTAACCATAGAATCTACACATTACAAAACGTTGACATCAATATTGAGTTGAAGTAGTTGGCACGTTACAATAATATACATAAATCAAATTAATACAACTAAATTAACTCTTTTTTAATTTTTAATTTAATTTTAGGGGATATAATAAAAGAATCTATTCATTACTCACACTCACCAGATATTGATAAAGTAAAAATTAAAGAAATTATTACAAATATAAAAGAAGAAGCAAAAACGTCTATATTAACTCCCAGAAATTTAGTAAGTCGTGCAGTTGAAACTCTCCCGACATCTGTAATTGGTCAATTACCGAACATAGAAAAAATATCCAAAACAATTCGACGAGAAAGGATTAAACAGCAAAAACCTAGAGCTAATCCAGTAAATGTTGGTGATTTAATAATTTCTGGTGAATATTCTGTAACAAACAAAGGTGACATGTTTTTATTTTACTATAATAAAATTCAAAAGCGTATATTAACATTTTCCACTTTAGAAAATTTAAATATGTTAAAAGAATGTTCGAGTTGGATTGGTGACGGCACTTTTCTTACAGTGCCAAACTATTTTCACAACTTTACACTATACATGGTACAAAAATTAAACAAAGTTTTCTTCTGGTATATATATTAATGGTAGATCGTTCTAAAGATGCATATATTGAAGTTCTGATAGCGTTAAAATCTGCAGTTTCCAGTTTAAGACCCCAACGAATAATGGTTGATTTTGAAATGGCCTTTATATCAGCTTGTAAAGATGAATTTCCTACAACAGAAATTAAAGGTTGTTTTTTTCATTTTCAACAATGCTTATGACGGAAAATTCAAAGTGATGAACGATAAAGTTTAAAATCGTAAGTCAATGCAACGAAATTACACCAATGAATTATTTAAGGGGAATTGCCTACAATCTTAAATTTTAACTTATATCTTGATCGGATTTTATATTATAAATACAGTCAATTATATTACAATTAAACATTTATTTTGTACTTGTAATAAATAATAATAATTACATATTATTTTAAAAATTACATATTACGATTACAATAACATATTTTTAAATACTAATGTACTTACTTCGGTAATCACTTAAGATATCAGTTTTTTATCTGCTTTTAATAATTGTAGTTATAAAGAAATTAATATTAATATAAAATATTATATATATTAAAATATTTTCATGGGAGATATTTCCATTAAAGATATTTTTAACATTAGATATTTTGTACTGGAGATATTTTGACCGGTCACCAGTTTGTTGAAGTACAAACCTTCGACCTCATGCATAAATTCCTCTCGTTCATGTTCTGGCAGTTTTCTAATTCTTTTCACCATCATTTTACTGAACAGATCATATTCATCATCTTCTTTGTCAATATTTCTTTTGGTAATAACATTTCTTAACAAGCTAAATGCTTCTTTCATTTGGTTTCCTGCTTCTTGAAGCTCAGGAGGAGGGGCACCGTTCCGTCGAATCGTTGGCGTTGGTCGTGAAGGTGTTCTGTGTGGTTACTCAGGAACTACTGTACTCGTATTCTCTGTTATATTCTCAGGTCCCACATTTTGATTTTCTCCGATGTATAAATCTCTAATTTCCTCATGTTGTTCATCGTTTACAAAAGACTAAACAAAACAAAAAAAAAATTATATTTATATTTTTTAAATGATTCATAGATTGTCCTTGTAGAAAAATAACATCAAGTAGCTCTACGTTTTTTTTACAAGATGAATGGCTAGTTGTAGAAAAAGGATTCAGTAAAAACCTTCCGCACGCCATCGGAGCGATGGATGGAAAGCACATTGTCATACAATACCCATCTCATACAGGAGTATTATAATTACAAAAAAACTTTCAGTATTGTCCTTTTAGCCGTAGTAGACAGTAACTATCAGTTTATGTTCGCTGACATCGGTAGCCAAGGAAGGATTAGTTATGGCGGTGTATTACGGAATAGTGTATTATGGCAGATAATTTCGGAAAATAATTTGAATTTGCCGACGCCACACAGTGGGAGGAATTGAGGTTTGACCGCGACAAAAATATATTTCATAGTAAAATCATATTATATTTATTTAATTAGTTTTTAATAATTTATAGGTTTATATTTACAAAAGGAAATTAATAAAATAGCTAAGTTCTATTAGTTGTGTGAAAACACGATAGCTAAATAGATACAGTATTTATTTAATAAAAATGTTATTCTGAATCAGAACATACGTCTGAATCTTCTGTTTCTTCATCAATCATCATCATCTGTAATTATTAATTGTTTTACTGAGGATGGTAATTCTGTTAATTGTGTTTTCAACATTTTTCGCTTAGAAGATATCACTGGGTCTGAACTAATTAATAGAGCATGCATTAAATCACTATTGGTACTTATTCTTGATGTTTTGCGAGTATGATTTTCCCTAAAATTTTTATAATTTTTATTACATGCCTATGACTATCGATGGAACACGGGTTTAACTGTCTTGGACGTTGTGGAAATCTCAGCGCATTGAATAAATCACGGTATGTACCTATAAAAATAACTACACATAAATGGGCAACTTTGGGCAGATCATATATTAAAATTGACTTAATAGTAAGTTTACTTATACTATATGATAAAAATTAGAGTGCTAATTTACGCTATTTTTTCTTAAGTTCAATTTAATTATAAAATAAATTATTTATTTTGGTATTTCGAAATTGCAGTTTTAATATTTCATTTTTAATTGAAGGGTTAAATAAATTATTATTAACTATTACATACATTGTCCAGTAGTTTCCATTGTATAAAATGTATAAACTAAATAAACTTCATAATTTAAGATTTCGTAAAACTGAAAACAAGAATTAACATTAACCGTGTGTACTGTGTAGCTAGGTAATGATGATTATTCTAAAGCTGGTTACACACGGAGCGGTTTAGCCGCGCGCGGTCGCGGTTTTTATCCGCCGCGGATTTTCTTTAAAAATTAAACACCTATATTTAAATGGGTACATTCAAACGAAGTAAAATGGCTAGCGGACGACCGCGGTCTTCGGCGGTCGACCGCCTGGAATCGCGCTTGTTCAATTTTCGGGCGGTCGACCGCATCCGCTAGCTAAAATTAAACTGTGGATTTCCAATGGCCATATTCATACGAGGTGGATCGTCCGCCAACCGCCGCGGTTTTTTCCAGCGTATTTGTCATTTATGAATATTCAGTTGACGTGTGTGCACTGAATATTTTTATTTTAGTAATATTTTAATGTTCCAGCCATTATTAATTAATATTTTGTATTAATTTTTATTAATTCATATTATAATATCATAATTAAATTTTACATTTAAAATGCCATTCGATACCGAACAATTTATTTTAGAAATACAGCAAAATAACTGTATATGGGATAAACGTAAGTATCGTATCGTTTAATAATTATTTTAATAATTAGCACTTATTAATTACACATAGATTAAAAAGTAAAAACATATCTTTCTTTCTATACGTATTATTAAGATATATTTATTTATCTAATATATGATATTATAATAGAGGCAAAAAGTCATCATGATTTGCAACAGCTACATGTTGGTTGGACAAATGTAGCCAAGACTTGTTCTGAAAAGTTTGAAGAACTTGATGACAGCAAGAAGGCAGAAAAAAGGCAGAAAAAAGTAAGATTTCATATTATTATATACCTATAATTATATAAGAAAAAAAATAGCAATACGTTTTGATCAATACTTGTTAGTTTATATACACTTAACATTTGAATTGTATACGTGGATCCTTACTTACTAAGGGTAGATAACAATATTGCAATACTGATGGTTAATAAAAAATAATCATAACGGTTTTATACTTTTGTATATATTTTATAAGTCAAGTAACCTCTACATATTTATGAATGGCGTATACAATAAACTCATATGAAATTATAAAATAAGGCACAAAATAAATATAAGCTTAGGTAAAATATAAGTATAAAATATACGTAAATGTGTTTTACAAACAAAATTAGTAAAATGATAAAAACATAATTTTTTGGACATAGGTGGTAATTGGTTTACTTACCAATTATTTTATTTTGCCAGCTAAGCGCATTATTTGGGTGGTTGATATATTTTACAAAATACTCCCTGACATCCTTCGCATTTGTCTGAGCATTGCCAACTCCTCTTCTCTCAGTTATGCTATCCATACCACCATTCAAGCTACCCTCAAAATTAAACCCATCACGGCGTCTCACAAAGTTGTGTAAGACACAACAGGCTTTGGTAATTTTCACCGCAAAATTTGGTTCCACTAGCATGCTCGTTTGAAACACTCTCCATTTCTTTGACAAAATTCCAAACGAACACTCAATTTACTGACGGGCTCTAGACAAACGATAATTAAAAATCCGTCGTTCGTCATTTAAAGTTCTGCCAGGAAATGGTCGCAATAAATTTTTATTGAGAGCAAAAGCCTCATCAGCCACCAGTATAAATGGTTGTGGTACGCCTTGATCATCCCCAGGTAGACATCGTTCGGGTGGAAAGTTTGTTTTATCGGAATATAACTTCTTACCGAATGGTGACATTTTAAAAACATTGCAATCACTTTCTTTGCCGTAAGATCCTACATTAATGATGCGAAAACAATAATTTGAGTCGCAAATGGCCATAAGTATAAGTGAAAAAAAATTTTTGTAATTGTAATACAGAGACCCACTATTTTTGGGGCATTCTAGCCGTATGTGTTTTCCATCAACCTGTAATTATTAATAAAAAAAAATTTTTTTGTTATTTGCTGTAATCAAATTATCAATTTGTTAACCTATATATTATTATTATTAGTTAATTTATCAGGTATAGGAACATGCAACATGTAATGATTTCTTAATAATTTTTTACACATACACAAACATTTTAAAAATTTACAGTACCCTCCCTCACAGTACCCTAGGCTAATAGCCTTAGTTATCGAACTAAGACTAACTTAACACAAATAAAAAAAAAAAAATATTTTTTTAAAATTAATAATTTTTAAATAATTTTAAAATACATTCTAAAAATGTATAATTTTGTTTTGCATATTATCTACCTAGATGTTTTTTTTATTTTTTGAAGGTTGATATAAATAACTATCTTATCATTAAAAAACAAATCAAATATTTTTATTTTTATTTTATGTTATTTAAGACAAGCAAAACAATAAATTTGTGTTAGTCAATATATAGGTTACTCAGTACTCACCACCCCGACTGTATTTGGAAACTGGGTCTTATCGAAATATCCTGATGCTATATCCAGCCAATCATCAGTTGTGGGCTCTGACATCTCAATTGGCTGTAATATATCCCATATAACCTCGCATGTTTCCTGTACTATATTCGATATGGTCGACACTCCCATTAGAAACTCGAAATGTAATGCTGAGAAATGTGTTCCACAAGCCAAATATCTGAATATTATAATATTGTACAAAAAAAATTACCAAAACAACATCGATATTTTTAATGAGCGTTTGAATTTAAAAATGTTACGATATTTGATATCATCCCGTAAAACAACTATATTTCTTAGAAATATTCTTTAGAATTTTGTTGTAATTTAAAAACCTAATACCGTAGTCCGTAGATACTATTTTTACACAATTATTTAGGTACCTACTATACATGTACATGATCAATATTTTTTTATTCTTTTTGAGCTATTTATAAGCATGAGAGACTTTAGACTTTCTTCAGTGGATCAATGAATGTATTGACTTTACAATGATGTGTGTTTTTTTTATATATTTTTTTATTAAGACATTGGTCAGAAATTCAGAATATAAAATGTTATAATTTTTTGCTCGGTGAAAAAAATTGAAAATTTTAATACATTGTTTCTTATTATTTGTATATTTTATTGTGTATTATGGTTGAGGACTGTCACTATTAAATATTTTATGTTTTGGTTTTTTAATTAGTAAAAGAACTTAAAATTAAGTGGAAAAATATTCGAGATGCTTACAGAAAAAAATGTAATACGAAATCTGGTCAAGCCGCTAAAAACAATAAAAAATATATTTACTCAGACATTTTGGAGTTTATGAGACCTACAATGGAAAACAGAATGTAATAAACACTTAATATTATATTTTATTATTTTAAACTTTCATGTTTTCTTTTTTATTTGCTTACTTATTATGTTATACAGGACTGAAGGTAATGTTATCGAAAGTGATGAGGATGAAAGAGATGACGATGAATCAATTATAGTAAGAGGCACGGGTGTTGATATATCAACACTAGACACTGGAGAAGATTTTGAAGTCCAACCAAAAAAGAAAAAAAACGAAAAACACGTTTGAAGAAAAATTATTGACAGTGTTGGCAAATCGCCGTGTTGAAGATCCGGTGACTTCATTTCTTATGTCCTTAGCTCCACAAATTAGATCGCTAACACAGGACCAACAAAATGAAGTTTACATTGAATTTATAAAAAGTATAAGAAAAGTTAAAAATTCAAACAATGCTTATCAGTCTCAACCACCATACATTCCTCCTCCAGTGAACAATGACTATCCTAAACCCTCAGAACATTCCTTTTTGCCCAATGACGTTTTCTACTCGTATCCTCAATACCCACCTTACCATAGTGCACCTTTTTCTTCTTCTACTTAAACTATACCAACATCTGCTGTTCAAACAAATGCTTGTCACTCTGCCAATCTTCCATACTATTCTCAACTCAATTCTCCTTTATCCACTCCTCCAACTACATCTACTCCATCAAGCTCTAACAATAATTATTGATTTTTTTTTTGGAACTCACAGGTAGTTTGTTATGTTTTTTTTCTTATTAAATATTTGGAAAGTACCTAATTTTGTTTTTTTTTTTTTATGAACTAAACTATTAATTTGTTGAGTAAAGTACATTTTGTTACAGATACTATTCAATTTTTAAGTATTTAATTTTAATTTGATTTATATTGTTATAACCATCAATGAAATCATGTAGGTATGGAGTATTATTATTATACAATTTGTGTATCAATGTAGTTTAATTGCTTTTTTTATTAAAAAAAATACCAATTCAAAAATATCATGTATTACTTATATTATAATATAGATACCTACTATTTAACAATTCATGATAACATTAGTAAATGTAAATATTATCATTTATCAAACATATATTATGATTTACATTTCTTCTCGTAGAAACTAGCATTATTAAAAGTTTGTTAAGATGTCAAGAAAATATGTATTAGGTATAATATAATTGATGGCTTTACCTTAACGTGACAGTTAACCTCTCCAGAGGAGAAATTGAGATACGCATATTTGTATGTTGTTTTTGGAGGTGGTGACCAGTGAGTAAAACCTGATAATTGATTATATACAAATAATAAATATATATATATATATATATATATATAAACTTAATAATAATTTATTTATAAGAAATTGTAAACTATTATAAAAAATTAACTTACCAGTTCGTCAAAAGATTGAATGCTCATTCGATAATATTTCAAAAATTGTTCAGGGTGTGCTCGTAATGTCATAAAATTTACATAAAATTGGCCATCTTGTGGCCTTTTTAGATTTAATGGATGTACCCAATAACGCCTTTTTACATTTTTCTGTTGCTTTTTGTGCCTTTTATTTAGAGCATATGCGACGCATATTGCTTCAACATGGTCTAACGTATCCATTGTTGAAAAAATTGTTTTTTAATAAAGAAATGCGAATTATCCCAGAACTAACTCTGGCTAGCGTAGTAACGTCGTGTTTCAACCACGTTCTAAGCTCAACTGATTTTGTTACAAATTAGTGTGAATAATAAATTGGCGCGAAATATTTAAAATATAAGTAAACCGCATTCATAATCCGCCTCGTGTGTAAGCAAACCGCTGTAATGATCCTCATTAGTTAATATTATATGATTTACTGTTTTTACATAAAAACACTATTATTGTAACACGCAGCGGCTTAATGTAAAATACAATGTATGAACGCTGACGTTGTCATAAACAATATTAGAATACGTATATTTTTAGTTAATAGGGCAAAAGGGTTATGCACGCGCAGTCGTGGATAATGCTGATCTATGAGTGGCGTGATCATAACAAAGTGAAAAGTAGTAACATAAATAGCTAAGGGCAGCAGAGATTCGAGGAGTCTGCCTTGGGACACGAACAACGTTGTACTTGAGTCCTTTTGATTGCTTAAATGTATTGTAAAATACTTTGAAATATATTATATTTAGTGTTAGCAGAAAGTTCAGTCAAGTTCAGTATTTCAATTTTTGTCATCATTCAACAAGGACGATATCAACGTTACGATTATGCAAAAAATTTGGTAAATAATATTCTATATTTATGTCAAATATCGATTCAGAGTTAGAGTGGTTTTTTAATTTGTATCAGAGGGGGAACAGAGAGATAGGTAATTATCTTCTTCATTTACAAAATCTAATAGGTCACATAGAAATCAGTAAGATGAATAAATTAAACTTTGACAACGCGATTAGAATGTTGCCAGAATTCGCGGGTTTACCGACCCAAGACTTAAATCTTTTCGAAAAGAAATGTGAGTTCGTGTTTAAGCACATTGACGAAACAATTGTGAATGACGTGTTAGAAGCGTTGTTGTGTAATTTATCAGGAAAAGCTTTATGCATAACGCAGCATAAAGTTATAACAAATTATAAAGATCTGATTACTATATTAAGGGCGAATTTTGGAAACAACTTCTCGGGGACATATTTGTCAAAGCAATTAAATTCCATTACTCAGAATAAATACGAAAAAATCCAGGACTATGCTGCAAGGGTAGAACTAGCATTATACAGATTATTAAGTGAAATGACTAAAGATAAGACAGATGCAGAAAGCATAACTATTACTAAAGTATGGACTTCACAGGCGCAAAATATTTTTATAGACGGGTTAGATTTCCAAATTAGAACTGTATTAAGGGCGATGAAATTAGATAGTCTGGAGGAAATGATTAAAGCAGCATTGGAAGAAGAACAGGCGTTAGGAAATTTAAAACCGAAATTTGAAAAAACTAACATGACTACTTTTTCAAAACCTAAGTGTTTCAATTGTGAGGGGTATGGGCATTTAAGTAAAGATTGTAGGAAACCTAGGAAATCTACGAGTAATGCTGGAGGAAATACTAGTACTTTTATTAAAAAGGAGTATAGCACCTCAAGCAGTACAATGTTGTGTAATTATTATAAGGAACCAGGTCATATTGTTAAAGATTGTAGGAAATTGAAATACAATAATGAAAAAAAATCTAAATCTGGCGAAGGTTCATCGACATCGACCGATATTAAAACAATAGGCGATTTGAAAAACAACCAAGTTTTAATGTGCAAGAACAGAGGGAAACAGATTATAGAATTAGTTAAAAACCAGATTAAAGTTCACTCACAATCATTTAAATCAAACGAAAATACATTTGTAATTGATATAGGTGCGGATTTAAATTTAATCAAAATCTCAGCCGTGAATAATAACGATAGAATTGACCTATAGAATTGAAAACAAGTAAATTACAAGGTATTCACGAAACTCCTATCATTACTTTGGGCATAATTAAAATTAATCTTCGGATTAATGATAATTCTTATTTTGACACTATATTCCATGTAGTGGATGATAAATTTCCAATAGTTGTGTCAGGAATTTTGGGAACACCATTTTTTATTAACAATGATGTGACATTGAATTTAAAGAAAGGCGAAATGATTATTAACGTCGAGCAAAATAAAGAAAACGTAATCTGTATTCCTCCGAGATCAAATAATGTTGTACCCATTAAATTTTATGATGATAAATTAAATAATAATGATATAATAATTGATAGGAAAAATATATCAGACACTTTATGTTTAGGTACTACATTAAACACGTGCACCGATAGGACGATATACGCGAACGTTATCAATATCTCGTAAAATAGCGTAAACTTAAAGGGGCCACAATTAGCTAATATGAATTGGGAGTTATATACAAATTCGTCGGAAATGAAAAAACAAGAAAGTGCATACGAATCAATTACGTCTATTAAGTACTTCGAAACTAATAGTGTAGGGCAAAGTCTAGACATCGATTTTACTGATAGGAATAAAACTATTATCGAACAACTAATTACTGACCACCTGAATCAAGAAGAGTTGAAAGCATTAACTGATTTATGTTACGAGTACTCCGATGTATTTTATGTGGAAGGGGACAAAATCGTCGGAACGGACTTAGTCACACACAGAATAATCACCCACCGATCAACATAAGGCAGTACAGATTGGCGGAACAACAGAAAGCAGAAATAAATAGGCAAGTTGCGGAACTGGAACGACAGGAGGTCATTACCAAAAGTAACTATCCATGGAATCATCCCTTAATTTTGGTACCAAAGAAGTGTGGAATAGACGGGAAAAAAAAGTTCAGGCTGTGCGTGGATTTTAGAAAACTAAATTTGATAACAGAAGGCAACTCGTGGCCTTTACCATTAATCACGGATATACTAGATAAACTGTGACACTCTAAGTACTTCTGCACTTTGGACATGGCGAATGGATACCACCAGGTAGCGATACACCCTGAGGACACACATAAAACAGCATTTTCAACCTCAACGGGTCACTGGGAGTGGATCAAAATGCCATTCGGTTTAAAAACCGCACCGGCAGTTTTTTCGGAACTTATGCACGCATTATTAGTGGGATGTGAAGATTTAAATATGTATGCTTATTTAGACGACATTGTCATAAGCGCAGAATCACTAAGTTCAATGATAAAAAAATTAAAATTAATTTTTGGTAGGTTTCGAAAAAATAATTTAAAACTTCAACCACACAAGTGTCATTTTTTACGGAAAGAAGTGACGTATTTGGGACATAAGTTATCAGAAAAAGGAGTACAACCAGATGAAAATAAAATTGTTTGTGTAAAAAATGTACCGATTCCAAAAAACCAAACAGATATTAAAAGTTTTCTGGGATTAATGGGATACTACAGAAAATTTATTGAAGATTACGCAAGGATCGCAAAACCACTAACAAGTTTACTAAAGAAAAATACGCCATTTATCTGGGGTGATGCTTGTCAAAATGCGTTTGAAAAGTTAAAATATTTATTAACAACCGAACCAATACTTGAATACCCAGATTTCACGAAAGAATTCGTATTAACCACGGACGCATCAAATTTCGCTTTGGGCTGTGTATTATCTCAAGGAAAAGTTGGGGAAGATAAACCAATCGCATATGCATCCAGAGTGTTGAACAAAAGTGAAATAAACTATTCTACGATTGAGAAGGAATGTTTAGGTATCGTTTTCGGTATAAAATATTTCCGTCATTATTTATGGGGCACGAAATTCAAAATAGTTACAGATCACAGACCACTAGTATGGTTGTTCAATGTGTCAGATATAAACTCTAGATTAGCACGATGGAGAATTCTACTTCAGGAATTTGATTATGAGATAATATATAGACCTGGTCGAGAAAATGGAAATGCGGACGCCTTATCAAGAATTTTGCTAATTACAAATGGAACGGAAGAATCAGAGATTATGCCGTTTGAAGAATTTATGGACAGCCAAAACGTTTATATTAATAAAAACGTTAAAGAGGTGAATGAACTGCACACAAATATTCCGGTTGATTATAGCGAGTTAATAACAGTATCAAGTGATTTAACGATGAGATTACACGTATTACGAGAATACATACAACAACTAGGGCATATAGGGAAGCAGGTATCACGAATGAACTCAGTCGCAGAGGTCACATCCAATGTATAAAGAACTATACAATACCTTGATAAATGTAAAAAACGTATGTATTCGAGAAGAAATATTTAAATTGGCTATTACAAAAATTATGTCGAATTTAAATTTCGATGTAATCAGAAGTATGATACGTTATATTTTTCGACATACTAATATTCAAATAAATATATACACTGATTATGAGATTAAGGAAGAGCAAAAACAAACACTAATCGAAGAACAACACATCACATGTATTGGCGGACATCAAGGGGTGTCAAGAACAGTAAAGAGATTAAAGTCATGGGTTTATTGGAAAGGTATGAAGAAAGACGTACAGAAGTTTGTGAACAATTGTAAGAAATGCCAAGTAAATAAGGAGAAAAGACGTACAAGGCAACCAATGGTCATAACGACAACTTCAACAAAAGCTTTTGAGAGGGTAGCATTAGATATAGTGGGACCTCTCCCAACTTCGGAAAATGGCTATACACATATTTTAACATTACAAGATGACTTAACTAAATTCTCAGCAGCATTTCCAATCAAAGCAACAGATTCAACAACTATAGCAAAGACTTTAGTAGAAAAAATTGTCTGTTATTTTGGGATTCCTAATACCGTACTCAGTGACCAGGGTTCAAATTTTTTGTCAGATATTTTTAAAAAAATGTGTAAAATGTTGGGGATTAAGAAATTACAAACTACTGCTTATTCTCCGATGTCAAATGGAGCACTCGAACGAAGCCATAAGACTTTGAAAGAGTTCTTAAGAAACTTCAGTGATATGAAGAAAAACAATTGGTGCGAGTTCATATGTTTTGCTATGTATATGTTACCGCCAATGATGATAATTAGGTATTGTTAAAAATGACTAGTCTATGTTAACACTGACTGTTTTACATAGGCATTGATATTATTGGCTAGTCATTTTAGAGAATACCTAACTTAGATAGACAATAATAAAACAAATTTAATATTAATACATAATTTCTATGATTGAGCAGTCATTGTCATTATTGACTAAAACTATGTAGCCATTGATAATTTTAGATATAATATATTATATTATTTACTATTTAAGAAAAAACAATGAAAAAAAAATATAAGAAACATATATTCCTCTTTGTTTAAAAATGATATATTATCTTCAAGTTTATTTTTCAATAAATCAAATAATGCGTTGTAAAATTTTTTATACTAATTTTTTATAATAAAACAATTCAACACTTCGAAACGAAAAACTATACGAAACTATAAACTATATTATACGAAAGTACAACGTAGACTGTAACAATACTTATGTTATAGGTTAGTTGCCGTGAGTATTAACACGTTCACTGCGTACTGACGCCAATTGGCGTCATAAGTATCATTCAGCAACGCGTTTGACGCCATATGGCGTCTAATATACATTTAAAATAAATGGTTTAAAATTCCCTACGCGTGGCTGAATGTTATTTTATTATTATTTAGCGTGGATTAAACGCATGTTTTTAAATATGTATACATACATCGTTATGAGCAGTTTCTTTATATTTTTTTTTAATTTCTTTTGTTTTTACTTTTATCATACGGACTGGGGGAAAACTGCAAAAAGACATACGCAGTCAACGTGTTAATACTATATAAAAGATACCTATTATTATTCGTTATAAAACAGATACCTAATCTTAACGTGGGTTTTTAAAGTTAAAACGATAAAAGATAACATTGACTACACGACGATAGGATATGTTATAATAACTCATAGACTATATAGAGATGCCCTATCAGAATAAGTATTATGAATTATGTGAAGCAAAACATGTCGGATTTGGTTTCCAATAACTAACAACGCAACTGATAGATAGCGCTAATTTTCAAATTTTCGTAAATCCCACCAATGTAATATTTTGAATATGTTACATAGAGTATATAGAGATGCCCTATCAGAATAAGTATTATGAATTATGTGAAGCAAAACATGTCGGATTTGGTTTCCAATAACTAACAACGCAACTGATAGATAGCGCTAATTTTCAACTTTTCGTAAATCCCACCAATGTAATATTTTGAATATGTTATAATACTTTCTACTCAGAAACTATTTTAAGAACAAACCTAAGATGCTGGTGTGTTACAATAATTTAAGTATTGATAGTGCTGATAATTTCCTCACCAAAAAGTTACTACCCTCCCATAACATATTATAATAGTATTTACGTATTTGTGCAAATCAAGTTCAGTTCAGTAATATTATAATAATTAATATTATATTGATAGTTATAAATAAAGGTTAATATAACCATAGAACAATATGATATAATTGAGTAATAATAATGAATAATATAATTAAATTACAATAAATATTGTATTATAGTTCATATACAATAAAATATTTTCTATAGTTTGCCTACACTGTTTTGTTTCCATTTCCGCTTCATATTATTTCAATTAGGGCTCCTCTATATACTCTATGTAATAACTAGTGAATCTATCAAATTATAACATCGTCTGATTTATCAAGTCAATGTTACAAATATATGTTGATTATAGATAATGACCAAGTTACCAAGGAAATAATTCTGACGCAGAAAAATATAATTTGTAATAATTTTAAGTTAGTTGTTAAGCAATATGTCAAGGAAATTCTCGATAAACGAGCTTTTATTCTTAAGTCGTTAGGACATCGATCCCAGAGAAATAGGAGAGGAGTAATAGATGGGGTAGGAAATATTGCTAACATTTTATTCGGAGTATGTGATAGTACTTGTACTGAATCAAACAATAGGAATATTATTCAACTTCAACAATCGGGAACAACATCACTAAATATCCTTAAAGAACAAACTCGTGTAGTAAAGAAGGTTGTTGTAGAAGCAGAGCAAAGTTTTAGGGACATAAAATTTTTACAAACAAAAATAACAGATTTCATACAGGCGAGTCGTACTTCAGCAGATTTTTTAAGTAACCATACTATGGAATTAGAACATAAAACGCGCATTCAAGACACGTATTTATTATTAAATCTACTTCCTTATCAATATGCGTTTGAAACTAATTACATATCAGAAATGATAAACGTTGCGCGTTTAGGTTAAATACATCCGGGAGTTATATCTATTGACGTATTACGCGATAGTATGAAAGAAATAAAATTAGCATTACCGAAAGGAACTTCATTACCAATTGAGATCGATGATATTGACCCTTATCAATTATATCAATTATCAGAAGTTAGTGTTGTATATCACAATCAATTACTACAATTTAATATCAAAATACCATTAGTAGATCAACAGAATTTTATTTTGTATAATATAATTCCGATGCCGATTAAAATAAAAAACAAACATTTCGCGTACGTACAAAATACGTATGATTATATTGCGATAAGTCCTTCTAATGAATATTTTACGACCTTTACACCACAACAATTAAACTCATGTAAGAAAATACTTAATTACTTTATCTGTTATGCCGTACAACCGGTACATTCTAAAAATTCAAATACTAACTGTGAAATGGCTTTATTTACGAAACAAAAGGAAAAAACGCAAATGTGTAAATATTTATATTTTGAGTTATATGGAAGTATATTCCATAAATTAGAATTTAAGAACACGTGGATCTATACCGTAGAACACGAAAATGTAGTACTAACATGTGGGGTAGACGAGAGATCAGAAAATATAGAACTATACTCTATTCAGAATAACCTTGCCCACCCGATCGACGAAAACTCGTCGAGTTCGCGCATGTCTGTTGCCACCGTCGGCGCTGATGTCGACTGTGCTGCTGCCGCCGACGCGCTGCAGCTGTATACGTAGTGAACTATAGTATCCACGTTACTATGCCACAAGTGGTTTACGCTTTCAGTCCGTAACACTTAAAAACACCGCCCGCCTTCCGATATTTGATCTCGTTTTTTTTAATACTATTTTGTGAATTATTCATCCAAAATGGCAAGCAGTTCTGACGAGGATAATGCTGAATATGGCCCATCACCAATTAAAAAGCAGAAAAGTGGAAAAGTGAGTATTATATGTATAATATAAAAATTCCGAGTTTATAAAAAGCATGTTTTTTTCAAAAAAAAAAAAATGGTTTTAATCGATTAAAACATGTTTTTTGTTTGAAATGTCTTTCAGGACAGCATTTTTATTAAGACTTATTTTTTAAATATTTTTATTTCAGGCTATAAGTGAGGATTTAAGAATCCGTATTGTTAATATGTAAAAAAGTATAATTATGGACGAACCTAACATTTCCATGAGGCAAATTCGTAAGCAAATTTCAGAACTACTGTCTATTGGCGAACGTTCAATCCACACGATCATTAAGGCTTACAATGAGACAAAGACGGTGCCAGTCGCAAAAACAACACGTAATAAAAAATCATTTCGCGATCTATTTGACGATTTTTCAAAAAACGCAGTACGTAGGCATGTGCATAGCATCTGGTTTCGCCGTGAAATTCCTACGATTGATAAAATCCACCAAGCCGTGTCAGCCGACGACAGTTTGCCAACAGTATCGCGCACAAATTTATTTCATCTTTTAAAAGATTTAGATTTCCGTTACAGTAAGCGAAGTAGGAACAGTGCTATGACTGAAAAAAATGAAATTGTTGGGTGGAGAAGAACATATTTGGATAGCATTAGAAAATACCGGGAAGAGGGTCGACATATTTATTTTCTCGACGAAACATGGGTGAATGCTGGCGATTGTACATCGAAAACGTGGGTCGACACAACAGTACGATCTCACCGTGATGCATTCTTAAAAGGTCTATCGACAGGTGCTGTTAATCCTTCTGGCAAAGGGAAACGACTTATTGTTCTCCATATCGGCTCTGAAGATGGTTTTGTCCCTGGTGGTTTGTTGTGTTTTGAATCGAAAAAAAATACGAGTGACTACCACGACGAGATGAATGGGGACACATTTCGTGAATGGATGGAGGGCACTCTACCTCGCCTAAAACCGAACTCCGTAATTGTTATGGACAATGCGTCCTACCATTCCGTGAAAATTGACAAAGCCCCAACATCGAATACACGAAAGGCGGATATAATTAAGTGGTTGGAGGATAAAGGAGAAGTGGTAGACCGAACTATGGTTATCCCTCAACTTTTGCTAATAGTGAAACGTTTAAAACCACAACATAATAGGTATGTTATTGATGAACTAGCAAAAAACAGTGGTTATACAGTATTACGACTCCCCCCATACCACTGTGAGCTTAACCCCATTGAGCTTGCTTGGTCATCAGTGAAGAACCATGTTCGAATGAACAACACAACTTATAAACTTCCAGATGTAAAAAAATTACTAGTAGAGGGCATAGATCGAGTTGACTCACAAATGTGGAAAAATTTTATAAGCCACACGAAAAAAGAAGAAATAAAATTTTATGAGGTCGATAACATAATAGATGAGATGTTGTCCTCGGAGAAAGATGATTTGTTGATGACTATTACGGGAGACACATCTTCTGAAACGGATTCCGATACTGAATAATGTTGACCTTAATTTTTGTAAATATAACTATAATTTTTGTAAATATAACTATAATTTTTGTAAATATAACTATAATTTTTGTGTATATAACGATAATTTTTGTAAACATGAATTTGATTTTTGTTAATTACTGTTTAGAAAAAAATGACTTTTTTAGAAATATGAGTAACTTTTGTAAATATGAAGTTGTATTTATTTATTAGTTTTAATTTCCTTCTTAAATTACATAGGTATTAATTACATTGGTACTGGGTTTTAATAATAATTGTATACTACGTAAGCATTGTGTTTGGTACAGAAAAATAAGGTAAAAGTACAAAAAACACGGTAAAGGAAAAAAAACTATACATTATAACATGATATAGGTAATAATTATTAATTATTACGATCGTGTTATTATGAACATCTGTATATACGGCGGCGGCTGTCGATAGCGACGCATGACGGTAGCGGTCGACAACTAACGACCAATCACAGTGCACCTGACTCTCGCCGGGGGGTCTGACGACTGCCGGCGGCTCAGTTGCGTGCGCGAAAGTGGGCAAGGTTATTCTGAATAGAGTATAGTAGGAACAGGGTTGTTAACCCTTAATGAACAATGTAAGGGTTACGCAAATCAAAATATATTACAGCCGGTAACTACAGCACAAAACTCTAAATTCATTGATTTTATACCAGAAACAAAATTATTAAAAGGGACACAAATGAATAATATAGCTCTATCTAAATTACCAACATGGTCCTTTACGGGACAAGTTGAAAAATTGCATGATTTGAAATCTATATCTAGGTCAATCGATGACATAAATAGGGAAATTGATTTTAATTTAACAAAACAATCAATACAGCAAGTTTATACGTATAATCATTATGTTATTTTTAGTACAATAATATTGTTTATTGTCATTTATGTATGTTACAAATTAAATAAATATTGTACTAAATCACCTCCAGAGCCAGTAAGAGATTATGGAAACATTCATTTCGATACGATTACTAAGGTCACGGAGGTTTAGTCGAAAGACAAATCATAATATCATAGATGTTTAAAAAATAATAATATTAATATTAAGATTATGTAAAACTATATTCTGAAATTAATATTTGTTTAGTTTAAGAAAAATATTTTTTTTTTTTTGTAATCATGTAAAACAAATATAATTTCAATGTAGGGATGGAGGAATGTAATGATCCTCATTAGTTAATATTATATGATTTACTGTTTTTACATAAAAACACTATTATTGTAACACGCAGCGGCTTAATGTAAAATACAATGTATGAACGCTGACGTTGTCATAAACAATATTAGAATACGTATATTTTTAGTTAATAGGGCAAAAGGGTTATGCACGCGCAGTCGTGGATAATGCTGATCTATGAGTGGCGTGATCATAACAAAGTGAAAAGTAGTAACATAAATAGCTAAGGGCAGCAGAGATTCGAGGAGTCTGCCTTGGGACACGAACAACGTTGTACTTGAGTCTTTTTGATTGTTTAAATGTATTGTAAAATACTTTGAAATATATTATATTTAGTGTTATTTATGCTAGTATACTTTATTTCCTTCCATACCTCAATTTTTATAAGTGCTTGCCGGACACGTTACAACAAAAGTCATACATGGAACATATTCCTTCGGAGTCTAGTGAATAACTCATATTATACATAATCTTTATGTCTATAAAATAACTTCATATAAATGTATTAAAAAATATTTTTAAATATATTTAATATAATATTTTTGAATATCTAGGTAGTCCAGAAACAAATCTGGCTGTTATACCTGAAACTCCTGAAGTACTTAACATATTATGTTCTGTTGTTAGAAAGAAGTAATTAAAATAATATGATATGATTTACCTATTATAATAAAATTATGTATTATATTAATACAATTTTTATAAATTACAGGCGGTATATGGGTGACTTCAGTTAGGAAGATTTAAATAGTCCAACTAAAAGGCGCAAATATTGGTATATTACACAGAAAAATAGTCAAAATTATGTCAAAAAAATTAAAAATTTAAGAAAAAGGAATCAACGCCTTCTCAATAAAGTTAAAACGATGGGTAATTTAATTGATCATTTAAAGGAAGAAAATAAAATTTCAGGAACATGTCATACAGTATTAAAGGTAAACTAAATCAAAATTAAAAAAAAGCATGGTACTGATTTAGTTGACGCCCACTAGCCCACGTATTCTCCCGTCACTCAGATTTAGTTGACATCAGCCACTAATATCTCTCGTATTTTTGATGTGCTAATCATCTTTTATACAAATTTTCCATTCTACTGTAGATAAAAAAAGTATGAAAATCTGTGCGATAAGTATAATATATTGGTATATTATACTTAAATATTCACTATTGTTGTTACAATTACAACTATTTAGAAATAATTTCTAGTTTCTAGTTTCTTATTTCAATTATTGGAATTTTAGATTATGAAAATGTTATCAGTTATCATTTAATTACTATCTTTATCAAAAAGCCGACTCTCACACCTCAAACGTTTGTTTTGAATTGTCACACCACACACCATACCCAACACTTCTACACTACACTGTCTACACTTAGTTTTTAAAACGAACAAAGCTAATATACAGACTTGATATCCAATGTTTTGCGGAATGGTATGTGGCACGGCACTTACTTCTCCACATTTTTATAGTGTTTTTTCATATCTTCTATATTATACTTCACAACCTTGAGAGTAGATCATTAATACATTTGTTTTCTTTTAATACATACGTACATAAAATCCAATAGCCTCATTGATCAAATAGATCAACATCATATTTAACATAAAAATTAATTATTATTTTTACAGGTACTTAATTTTTGAGTATTTTTGATTAATATAATGGTAACTTATAATGTTCGGTAGAATTTTGTTAAGTTAATTTGTATACTAAAATCAAAATTGCTATATACAGAGTGTCTCAAACAGTACTGACATATGGAATAACTTTTTTGATATTCGATATTTTTTTTTTTTTTTTTTTTTTGTTTTATTTGTAGACGCTTGCGCTACATGTTTTATATAAAAAAAAATTTTTTACTTTTTTAATTCTGAAAATAAAAAATTTTAAATTTTATAAAAAATGTATTTGAAAAATTCAAAATAGCCAATTTATAAAGCCGATTTTTAGAAAAATTTTGATGGTTCAAATATTTATAAAAGTGTTGCCGTTAATTTTCTACAAATTATTTAGTTTTTGGAAATATGAACAATTTTTTCCTTTATCATACCAAAATAATCAACAATCATCAGTCATCACTGATACCTGATTAGACGTAGTAATCACTATTTATTTTCCTAAGAGTTTTTATCAGTTACCACCATTTACACCGGCAGCTAATGCACAGAAATAGATAAGAGCATTACTGAGATAATAAAATTACTGGTTATGTTATAGTAAAAAAAAACTTTTATGTTACTACGTTTAAAAAGGTTTAATAGAATTAATAACAATAATACAATAATGACATACATGCATCAACAATATTTAGTTCAGTAATCAGTTAATTCAGTTGCTACCTAATATCTATTTTAAATAATTTTCAAAATGCCCACCATCGTTTTCTGTACGTTTTTCATATCGCTCTAATATTGACGATGTGACCGACTTTAACATTTGTGATGTGACTTTTGTACATGCTTTAGTGATGCGCTCTTTTAAATCATTCAGAGAAGTCGACTGTTCTGAATAAACG